GACCACACCCCTTCTCATTACAGAGATGCACATCACCTAATATGCTTAATTGGTAGTAGGCTTTCGAGCCTATACAGCTTGGAGTAAGACAACATGCACGAAGAGGATGATGTGGACAAAATACTCATTTGCCTAATAATTCTGCACTCCCTGTACAGCATTCCCAATCTCACGCTCTCTCATTTCTCCAGTTTAAAAAAATGACAACAATCAGCAAGACAATTTGTCATCCTCACTTGTTGGAGAACTTTGGATGGTTATGAGCATGCGCCTATTTACATCTGGATTGCTAACATTTTCTTTCCTTGAAATAATATGACTTTAAATCATTGTGTGAAAATTTGCCACCTACTTGACTTTACCTGTATATTAGTCGAATAAAATGTCAAATATACAGTCACAAGTGTTTTAGTTGTAATTCTTAGTCAGCTGAAAAGTTAATGTAATCTGTATAATCATTATTAATTATTATTATTAATCATTATTAATCTAATCATTAGTATACCTCATCATGTTCCAAATCAGAGTGAAAACTGTGTTGCAATTTGCTCAAACTACTGACATAAAAGTTCAATGCAATAAAAAAATTACTGGACTTTTCAAATTCAAGGTTAACTTACAGCTATTGAATAATTCTGATAAGCGAAGACATTCATTCATTGTCAGTGAATGTGGGTTATGGTGCTAAGCCTCAATATTCAGACACCCATGTCCCGCAGAGAGGACGAGGGGGGCTGGAGCGAGTCTCGAAGTCACATTGCTCATTTAAGCGCACACCTCAGGAGACCAAACTTACCCCTTCTGGTCAGAGCGGCCTCTCAGTTGAGGTGAACTTGTTTAACAGCCTCATCTCCACAGCGCAAAGGGCCTATGCTGGACGAGGGGAATGGCTCAAACACCTGCTCACACGCAACTCCGAGCTGTCACATACAGTTAGGCTCACGCGACCGAGCGCGTCTCCCCTCCGTTCACTGACACCGTGCTGCGGATTTGGCGGCCGCCCTCGCGCCTCAACAAAGGCCCGGGCCTCCCCTGTTTGTCTCGACAATTTCAGTGAGCTTATGCACATCTCTCACACACGCGCTCGCGTGCGCGCAAGTCTTTGAGCTCCAGGGGCTACAGCCACGGGCCGGCCACGCGCGAGCCGAAGCGCGTCAACAGGAATTGGATGGGAGTGGGAAGAGGAGGAGCTTTAACGTGAAGGTTAAAACCCGGAGCCCCCTCAGAGTGACCCGCACTGAGAGGCTGAGCAGCTCCGCACAAGGAGACGCCACTGAACTTCAGCGCTGCTTGATGGACGGTGTGACCGAGCTGTGATCCGTGGAGAAAGGACAAATATCATCTGACAGACTTCCTGAGGCGGTCCCGGGACAAATCAGCACTGGTATGTTTCATAGCGCAGCCGAGAGAGACTCTGCGGGTCTCACATGTGAGTGAGTCAGTGTGGACACACTGTTTACACGTAATTTACATTTTAATGTATCTTACAGGCAACTTGCTTTCAGTTTAGAGTACCAGATTTTTTTGGCACAGGGATTTTATTTTGAACTAAAGCAAGTGCACGTAAAGTCAACAAGAAATTAATATATCTAATGAAAAAAGTACAAAAGGCTTATCTTAATATACTTCAGCAATAACTGCTTAGACACGCAATTTGTGGGGAGACATTAATATTTCTGCCTTTGAAAATGTCTATTTGAATTCAGACTGAGCCCTCTGTCAGGCTACTGATCTGCGGGATGTCGATCTTTCATTTAATCCCATGGTCGTTGCTTCATCCACGGAGTAAATCCTGTGATGGCCCAGATTAAAGTCCTGTCGGTGACTTGCTGGGGCATTACCAGTTCACAAGTTGACCGGGATTACCCAAAGAACAAGGGAAGGGGAGAAGACGGGTAAAGCAGATAATACATATAGGGGAAATTCATGTAGCTATAAAGGCATTAAAAGCCATCACCTCTCTCTGCAGATGTAATGTTTGGCCAATCAGAAGTACATGAGGCTGAGAAGCGCGCATCAGGAACTGTCCGGTGCTGAAACCGTCGGCCCGTTTGAGGACTTATTTGTGCAAAAATAATGGTTTTAAAGGTTATTGATGTTTATTCCTTGTGACTTAAGACTTGTATTCACTAACCCCAGGTTACCACGGCCATCAGACCCCTTAATTCACCCCTTAACCTTCCCCAACCTTAACATCGTAGAATCTTTCTGGGAAGTAAGTTAAGTTATGTTTCTAGATGAAAAGAACAGGAAAAGTATTTTTTCGCTAATCGAAAGATCTTACAGCAAAGAGAAGCAAACAGTGACAGAAAGACACTAGATTTGTATACTTGCTTTTATACTTAATTTCTTTCATTTAATTTGCAAACTTTTGATTTTTTATTTCCACTTCCGTTGGTGAGGTTTAGGAACCAAATAGTGTTGGTTAGGTTTAGGAGATTATGCTAAAATATCCTTGAACAGTATTAACCACCTGCTACATTTTGTAGTCATACATGATTAAAACAACAGTCAGAAATTAGTAACATTAGTGGCAATGTCATTACAAAATTATTTTATGATGCATTAAAAACATGATCCAGAAGAGATTACATGTTCCTTGAAAAACAAACGATAATACTGATGAGCATTTGTAGGAGGTGGGGCTGTTAATTATGGCTAACACACCTTTATTATGAAGCCAGGAAAGATAAACTGCTGATCACCTGCTGATTTATGAAGAGCTGTTTAATCCACTGGAACACTTATAATCTGAGACAGGTCCAGAATCACCAAGTTCAGTCCAAACAAAAGCTGCTAAGTATTCCTCTTTAGTGGTGCTAAAAAAAATTAAATAAATAAAATAAAAGTTAAAAGGAGCAAATTCACATGTGAAAAGGCTCTGATCAAAATATTACAGAAATAAATATATTTCAGTGCATTATAAATTATTCAGAATTAAGGTAATACTTATGTAGGATGACCTCAGTGACCAATAACCTAAAATATACATTCCAGTTTAATGCAATACTTTCAACAGCACATGACTATAGGAAAAAACCCCAATATTTTGTATTATCATATGTTTAGGATAAACAGATAACATTCGTAGAATTTCAAAACAAATCCTAGTGTAAGTACAGTCACTGTATGTATTACAGTACTCATGTTGAATGCATTGCTTTATATAAAAGAAGAAGCTGGAAACCAACAACAACGAATTTGACAATGATGAATCTGAGGTCTAATAAACAATACTGTCTGCTATTATTACAGCATGTGTGTCACAAAGATGTTCTTTATTCTCTATTTTTTGGCAGATTGCTATGATGATAAAGCCATATGTTAGACAAGGGGAGGGTGAGGAGGTCGTCAGCCCTCTGCAGTGGATGGACGGAGACATGAGCTCACCTGATGGGGATCCATCGGCCCCATCGCACAGCTACAGAACAGGTGACATGATCCAACAGGCCAGAGAGATGGGGAGTGAGGATGCAGAGGAAGATGAGGAGGACAGAGAGGAAGGACCAGAGGATGAATCAAAACGACGAGGGCCTAAGAGAAAGAGGATGACCAAGGCCCGGCAGGAGCGTTTCCGTGCGAGGCGAATAAAAGCGAATGCCAGGGAGCGCTCGCGTATGCACGGCCTAAATGATGCACTTGAAAACCTGCGCAGCATCATGCCCTGTCACTCCAAAACACAGAAGCTGTCCAAGATCGAGACGTTACGGCTGGCCCGCAACTACATCTGTGCTCTGTCTGAGGCTCTGGAGGGGGGCCTGTCCACAGAAAGCAGGGCTTTCATGGAAACGCTGTGTAAGGGACTGTCACAGCCCACGACCAACCTGGTTGCCGGCTGCTTACAGATGGGACCAGCTCCGGGTCCTGGGATGAGGCCTGAAGACAGACATGGAGGTCGGCCACCACCTACACTTGGTGGCATGGTGAGCTACTCCTCTCCAGGACTGCCAAGTCCCCCATATGGCACATTTGACTCAGCTCACCTGCTTCACTTGAGGGCGATGAAGGGAAGACCCTATGAGAATCACTCACCAAACGAGTACAACGCTGGTGGCGTGGGAACCCCTCCATATGATGGCCCGCCTACACCACCTCTCAGCATCAGTAGCAACCTGGTGCCCAAACAGGAGCCTTCACCTCATTACCCACCTTCCCACCGCTACTCTCCCACCCCTGTGGAGCAGGTGCTGTATCATACACAGACCGGATATGATGTACACTTAGAGGGGCCATATGACTCCTATCATCCACCGCACATGCCCCCCCGACAGATTACATCTGTCTACAGAGACTGAGGGGGATCGGGAGCGTCGGTTCCACATCAGCCTTCAGTACGACTTGAAGGATGGAGTCCCGTCCTTCACAAACACTCAGGCTGATTTAAAGAAGCTGGCTCTCTCTCAGTAGACAGACTGGTAGTCAAGCACTGTAGAATAGTTTGTTTTTTAACACTTGTGGAACATTTGCACAGTAGAGTAGCACTACTCAGCATTGCTAGTATTAGAAAATATTTGACTTAAACCAATAAATTGTTTTCCAAAACTCATTTACCAAATGATATAAGGACATAGCAGGCTGCTGCTGTCCAGCTTCCCGGGTACTGTAAAATAAGCACTTCTAATTAAGCTTTGGTAACACCAGATATTATTCCACATAAAGTATTTTTAATTTATTCGTTAATTTAAGATAGTGTAAATTATTTTTTTTCTGATGTGTGTGTTTTTGTTTTTTTTGTTTTTATTTGTACATATTTGTAGTCCAAGCTTTTCTTTGTCACTTAGACTCATCCATCTACCGTAATAGCTTATCCTTGTTTTGTGTCCAGTTTTTTGTTCCATTATATTCAAGTTTCACACTTGAAACCATTCATTTGTGGGGATCAAGCTGATCTTCTGTGAGTAATGACCGAAGAGAGAGATATTTGTTTGTTTGTCTTTATTTTAAATTTTCTGTAATGTGGAGGTTTGCAAAGGGGATCGCGGAGAAGCAAAAATTGTAATTCTCAGGTTAAAATTGTAAAGAAACTGCAACATATGACTGTTTTTCTTTTCAGTCTTGTTTCCTTTGGGACAATTGATGTTATTAAAATACTGAAAGTTCAATTAAGTCTGTTTTTTCTTTTGTTTACTACTTGATGAAATGTTTTATTTTTAAGCATATATATTCATCAGAATCCATCGTTTAAACACTACCAACATTAACACGCCTTGTTTACTTGCTACTTTGTTTCTCATTTTTCTCTCCAGATCTCTGTGGTTTAGCGGCACTAATCCCCGGTGCCGTCTTTTAATGAAGGACAAATGTGCGAGGCAGGATTGCAAGATAAAGATTTATGATTAACATGGCTGCCCGCCTTCTTAGGCTTTCTACTTCTCTGACATTGCGTTGGCATAATCCTGCCCTGACATCCACCCAGGCCGCAACTTAACACTTGTATTATACACATGTAATAAATACATTTCCTTACAGCTCTTATATTATTGACGTTTCGTGTTCACACACAAACATTCAAAAAACATTTGAAATGCCGGAATCAAATTTTAAAAGCCTGGAAATAAACAGCCAGAGTGAGAAAATGATGAAGATAAAAGCAAAAACAAGAGAGACCTGATTTGACAGCAGCCAGTCTTGCTTTATAGTCCTTGCTGGTCACTTTAAGGGCCACCCACTGAGAGGTCAGGGAGAGGGGTCAAGAGGTCATGGGTCAGTGGTGGGAATGGTCACTGAAGGAACACTGGTGACCAGTTTCTTCATCACGTTGCCGGTCATCTTTCTGCGTGTTTCTGCCCTGCCTTCATCTTTTCATTCAGAGCAGCGAGCGTTAAGTATGACGTTAGAGGTTATATTATGGCTGAAATGCTCCTAATCCCGATAAACACGCTGATGAACATCCCACGCTTGACCTGCACTGGGAAAAAATATATCGCTTTGTTTTCACAAGGATTAGTATAAGCCTGTGCGTGTATTTGTAATGCATTTGCACTACTAACCAGGAAAACCAGGGACTAACTTTGAGGGGGCAGGATGAATAACAAATAGCAGGACATCTCTCTGCTTGTTGGAGACACAGACGATCCCCAGACAATTAACATGCGGAGTGTTCCTACATGATAAATGATGGACGGCTGATCGACCAGCGTCTTGAAAAAGAAAAAGAAAAAAAAAAGTTTTGTGATTTAAAAAGGACACTTCTGCACACAGGAGAAAGAAAGGACTGCATTCACCCTTAACCTTTTGACCTTTGACCCCTCTGACATTTAATATCAACGATGCCTTTTATTGAATAAATGCAGAAACTGTTCACAGTGCCTCATTTACATGTGATGTTTTGAATAATTTCCCAATTATGTCAATTTTCCCAAAGGAAACTTGCAGCTTGGCAACATTTATATGAAAAAATTAGACAAATGCAACAATTCAAGCACAGTTTAAATCAAGCGCCATCAAGTCTTAGTAGTTAGAAAAGGGTTTCAGTCATATTTATGAAACCAATAAAGTTTTAAGAACAATAAGTGTATATATTTGTGTCACTCTAACATCATATGGAACAGTAGCTTCCTGCTGCCTGAATATAAGTACCAAATTATCTAAAGAATACGTGCTCACTTATGTGAATCCACAGTTTGTGCGTCTGTGAGAGAGACGCACAAACTGTGGACCACCATCCACCTCACGTGTGGATGGTGGTTGTGTTATTTGGGATGAAACAGTATTAAGCAGCTGATCAGAGCTCAGTGTCTGAATGGTGTCATTTACTCGTTAATCCAGAGGAGAGAGGGGCAGTCAGTGCAGCAGCTCCTCTTCTCCATTTGATGCGCAACAGTATGCAGCTGCAGCGCTTACTCAGCTCAGCATCTAATGCACGGTTAAACAGATCCTGTTTTGGAAGAATTTGAAGAAAAATGAGTCTTCTGTTGTGAATATGCTCATTTTTATTTGTGTTTTATTAATTATTATTATGTTAGATGACAAGAGGTCAGAACAAAATCTATAATGAAGGAGGGAGGAATCTCACTGCCACCTAGTGGTAGAAGTTCATTCCTGCAATATATGTATCAGCTGCCTGAGATATAAGCATTTGGCCACTAGGTGTCAACATTACACAACTTCTACAGTCTTGGTCTTGACTGAAGTCTGTAAAGCATACTGTATTAATAAAAATACAACAACTGTTTGACAAAGACACATTTGGCATCGAGTGACTGGCATTCGTTTACAATGAAAACCCCTCAGACTAAATACGATGGAGATGAGATAATTTCTCAAATACTTCCTTTGCGATGACTGTGAAGGTAGACACATAACAAAAGAGACATTTGGTGAGAACTCCTCTGCTAAACACAGTGAGCCAGCAGAGTGAGCAGGGAGTGGGAATAGAATTAACCTATTTACAAGTAAACTGGTTGATGGAGTGTGTTTGGATGAGAATAATCAGGCTAATGAAGATACCTGGGGACTCTGCTCTATCAGAGAACTGCATGCTGTCCTCTCCATCCAGCAAGTGATCATATCAGAGTCTAATTATTTACCGTGAAAGGACATGAAAACGGATTAATCAAGGAAATCTGACTGATTAAATCTTCAAAGCCAGCACTGAAGTGCATCGGCTATTAGGGAAGAAGGTTGTGGTCGGGGCTTTTATCCTTGAGAGGGGAAAATGAATGATCAAAAAAAGAAAAAAAAGAGAAAGACAGTGCTCTTCAGGACTGTTGGCACACTGAGTAAAGGAGAGGAAAGAAACACAAAAAAATGGCTAGAAAAACAACACAGCTGGCACGATTTGAAGAAAAAGTGTTTTTTGATGCTTTTTAAAATGCTTTTTGGTAAACTTACCTTTGATTTTATGTGATAAGATTTTCAGAGTTAATGAGGCAAACAATGTGTTTTGTTTCTGATGAAAGTGGAAGCTAAATATAGAAACAAACACACTATTTGATTAGTTAGATAATTAAAGCACTCCCAGATGGCAGTAGTCTCTCGTAGCAGGACAATGCACACGTCAAAGAAAAATCTCAGGAACACCAGAAGGAACATCACTGCGAGCCTTATAGCACTGAGCTGGTCTCCAAATTCCTGAGAATGTGATATGATTAAGCATATTTAGGACTCAGTGGAATAAGACTGGAGCCCTACAACCCACAGCCCACTGGACCTGTATAACGTACTACCAGCATCCTGGTGTCAGACCTGATAGGACGGCGCCATGAGGGCTCACAGGTCAGAGCAGGTTTAAGAAGATAATGTTAACTTGTACAGCTGACTGGTGGACACATTATAAAGTGTTTTCAACCAGTTTTTAAAGATTTACCTTTGCATGCCATATATAAAAATTTCAAGAAATACTTCATATTTGTTTAACAATAAATATGTACAGATACAAATACAGTACAAATTTGTCAGACCATCTGCCACAAAAACAAGAAAACAAACATTTTTTAAATCTGAAACTCATTTAAAACTAAACATTGTGTTGTTAGTTTTAGGTTATGTTGTTATGTTATTCAAAAATATAATTTTAATTAAAACACTTAATTGCATTACTGCAATTATCATTACAGAAACATAAAAGCTGATTTAGGTATTTACCAAATCTGTTCATTTAGGGCATCTGTGGCATTAATTTGTGTTTACATATAAAACTATAATTGAGGTATATATTTATACTAGTATAGTTTACTAATTATAATTTTGCACTTTTACCTAAGAAAGAATCTTTTTTTAATTAATCTTAAATGGATAAGTTCTACTTGTAATTGAGTATTTTTACTGTCTCCTGTATTTATTTAAGTTTATAAATATTTTTTAAGCCGAATTAAAATGAATTTGTGTCAGTATAGTTCCAGTGGTCAGTGGTGTGGGAGAGAGGTTAGCCAAACCACATCTTTCTGCTCAAGTAAAAGTTTGTGGATTGAAGAAGAAGTTGCGTCAAACTAACCTGCTGCACACATGAAAGGAGAACAAAGACGTGAGCAAACACTGAAAATCCATATATAGATCACTGAGGGAGGAATGCAATGCACTGCATTACTCTGCAGGATGTTACGGTGAGCCATCTTATAAAGGTTTTATGACAGAGAGAGATTAGTTAAAGAGCAAAGGACAGGGCAGTCAGAAAATGTGTGCTTGTTTTACTCACGTTGTGAGGACGTACATTTGTTTACATAGTCATATTGTGGGGACCTTGAGTGCATTTATTGATAGCATATTATAAGTCGTTAAACTGTAGAAAGGGGACGCGGTTTAAAGGTTAGCATTAAGTAAGTGGTGGTTATGGTTAGGGTAAGTAACCAGGAAATGAACATAATGTCCTCTGAAGTGATGTAAACTCAACTTTGTGTGTGTGTGTGTGTGTGTGTGTGTGTTGTGTGTGTGTGTGTAACTGTATCTCCTGATGAAATGTGCTTACTGCTCCAGTTTGTCGTCCTTCCTAACTGTCCCTCAACCTAACCCCTTATCTGGCATGGTGCCAGAAGCTGTTGGTGTGTTGCTTTGTCCGTAATAAACATGCAAATGAAATAAAAGTGAATATGTCTGCCTTAAATTAAACTGGGATATAAGTTTACATGAGCACATCCTTAGAAGAGTTATAAAGTGACCGTGCCAAGACTGACTGGACGCTACCATTAAGGCTTTTACAGCTTGCATTAAACACTTGGTGTTTTTAAATGGCCTGTCTCATTTACACAAGAGCACTTCACACACTCAGTGTCTTTAAACTGTTCACATCATTTTAATAGACTGTAGTTAGCCACGCATTTATTCCCCATATTCCTCAGGTGACTACTTGGAGCGCACAAGGCAGACTAGAGCTCAGGCCGTTTAGCGTATCAGAATTAGACTGACATTTACTCGATATTGGGCCATGCGTCAATCTCACCTCAGCCCTTGCCTCCTTCTGCTCCACCTAATACTCCCCTACCTCTCCAAAATGACACTCGCAAGCACATTTAGGACATCCGATCTGAATCTACACCTTAACTGGCAGAAAGCAGGAAGCAACATGGTAGCGCACAGGAGTCCCACAGTATCATGTTTGTAAATTTTGTGTGACTATCTTCATCCCGCAGCCATCCACATTTAATTTCACCATCTCAGCTATACCAGTGCTTCGCTT